GATGGATGGCTGGGTTGGGTGGATGGATGGTGGGATCGTGGATGGATGGATGGGTGCATGGATGGATGGATGGGTGGATGGATGGATGGATGGATGGGTGGGTGGATGGATGGGTGGGTGGGTGGATGGAGGGATAGTAAATAATCGTCCACGGCTTAAACTTTCATATGGTGAATGTAGACACCCATCTGAAGAATAACATAAGAAAAATGAGCGAAGCGACTATAATGCACGTTGATTCTATTTTAATGTGGATCTGTTTTCAAATACATTTTGTACATTAATATTCAGCAGTTCAACTATAGACTCTAGAGGGACAGTTAGGAATTATAAGGCCGTAATTCTTTTTTTTCTGGGGGGAAGGAATATAGTGTGCAGAAAAAGAATAGAGTGTTAGGAGGTAGTACTGTATATGTAGCTACTAAACACTAGGAGATGAACAGAAGTCAATATTGAATGGATATTATAAAAAAATGACAAAGAACAAACTGCTGCAGTGAATAGGTGTACATGTATGGAAGCCATCTTTTTCAATTTGTGCCAATCTTTTTTAGGTCATTTTTCTTGTGACTTTTTTTTCTACTAAACCCAGTGTGCCAAGTTTTCAACACTTTCACACAGTATTGTCTTCAAATAACTAACTGTATTTCACCAACAAAATCCGGATTAGAGCCCCCAAAAAAGGCTACTTTCATCATCATTAATTTGACTCAAATTTGAGAAATGTTCAGGCCACGGCTAGCCTCTCCAGCACCCTTTTGTAGTGTGTGAGGTTATCCTGGAACATCTCCTCCAGTTTTGCCTGTCTGTTCTCCACACTGAAGTCTTCCATGGCCACCACCAACTCTTCTGGCTTCAGCACCTTCCTCAGCTTCTCTACATACGAGCTCTCTTTCTGTAGGACACAGAGAAAAAAACATACTGAGAAACTAGAAACGTGTTTATCTTCACATGGCCGAGCTGGGCCCAACTATTGGTTTGTTTTTCTTACTCAAACACACTCATATGAACAGGTATATGGTAACTGTGCAGCCCCATTTGAACTCAGTTCTGCATGGCACTTGCAACATTATGTAACCCAAAACTAGTTACCATGGTGACAGATGTCTGGTTCAGGTCATTGACTTTGTTTGGAGAAGAAGAAGAAACTGAGCAAAAACAATATGTTTTCCTTCTGCGAAGGTAAACATAACTAGAAACTAATTTGCAAAAAAAAAGTTACTCAAGCAACTGGATATGATATGATTTTGGAAACGGTCAGACGTTTCAGGTAGCATCCACTACCTTTCGTCAGTGACACTAAGAGATACAACAATCAGGCCAAGACACGTTTTGCTACTACTACAGAAGCAAATCACCCCTTCTTTCTCCAAACTCCATCTCTAAGGAGAAAGTTCCATGCAGAAAGCTTCCTTCCTAGAAGTACATCACTATGGAACAAGCTTCCTTGTGAATGTTTCCAAATGGGTACAACCTTAAACTTTTCAAGTCTAGGGTGAACAAACATCTGTCTCCACAGTTCGTTAATGTAACCTAAAACATGTAAGTGGTTTGTATGAGCCTTGTTTTGAAGTGAAAAAAAATAATCAGAAACTAGAAATGTAATACAATGTATTTATATCAGCAATGTAGACAATAAAGAAATAAACAGAATTGAATTGAATCCATGAATACATGTTTTGTAATTTCATCAGGTTGGAGAGTAATTGAAAGCAAAGTTCTAATTGAAAAGAAAGTTCCGATTGAATAGCAAAGATTATTCATAACCACTTGTTTAACAACTTTTTAATGTTTTGATTGACTGTCTGTCATCTTCATCAGTCATAAGTGAAGAAGAACAGTCCCTGTCTTGTAAAGGCTAGATTAACACTGGTCACTTCAATTTTGGAATGTCACTTTCCGAATTTCAAGACAGCCATGTTGAAATCCCTCATTTTCAAATTTGTTATTCCTGCATGTACAGTAATCTTTTACATACCATTTGAAAGATCATGTTATCCTCAGTACCAGGTTGTTTTTTTATAGTCAAAATGTACATTTTTGTCAAGATATTTCACTTTAAAAATTGCTATCCCGGCGGTGTAGAAGCCACACCGGCGGGATCAGAAGCCCACCCCGTCGGGAATAAACTTGTACAAATGTACATGTGGTTACATAAATGTGGAGTAACTATTATTGCACAAAGTTAGTCTCCACTCACCCTAAACGGTGCGTTGAGTCTGCGTTTGACGTCCAGCCTGAACTCTCGGAACTCTGCAGCGTCACTGACGTCTGTCTGTTCCAGGCGCAGAATCTCGTACACTCTCCGGGCCTGTTTCTGTTGGAAAAAAAAAACACACCAAATCTTAGATTTTACACAGCCCTGAAATATTACATCATGCTGCAATTTTATAGCAGGAGAGATTTAGACTCCTGTCACCACATACATGTATATGAATATGTGTTAGAATTAACAGAGCATACAATATGCGAAGGTACACATCATGCTTATGTTGCTTTGTAAATGTTACCTTTCTAGTTTTCATTATGATATTTTCTAATGCTGAGGTCACATTTCCAAACCGGGGCCCGGTCGGGCAGTCTAATGGAACAAAAATTATGATATAAAGGACAACAAAGCACATATAAAGTTTTAAAAATTAGTAATAGGAACTATTTGCGTATGTTCTTGATATAAATTGTTGATTTTTCGTTATTCAAAACAGCCTGGATGGGCCCCGGTTTGGAAATGTGACCTCAGCATAACTCAGATGAACTTAATGCCATTAACGAGCACCTTGTTAATTTTGAGTTTCTCCTGTGCCTGCTGTGCCATGTCTGCGGTGAAACCTCCCGACAGCAGCTGCGGTGAGAAGGCAGGCAGAATCTTGCAGTTCACGCAGTCAACAAAGTCTCGCAGCCGCAGGAACTCTTCAGACGGGTCCTCAACTAAAGAAAGAAAACAGGAGAGTGATGTCGGTCCAGCAGATACAGCAGAAAAGAAGAAGAAATAGTCATGCCATCATGTATCAGAGTTATCAACCAAGGATTGAGGTGTTCAAAATTCATATTAGAAGTAGGATATAATTGTAGAATGGAACTCGTTGCCACCAAGTACAGTTGGGGCATCATCACTGAAAAGCTTTAAACAACTCCTCCAATTAAATGTGCAAAGATTGAGTGAAACAGGTCATTTGGTGTGATGTAACCAGCTGCCGCCATGCCGTGTGCCTGTAAAGCTGGTGTCTTACGCCAAAGTATGAGTGGATCAAACCTTACAGCATCTTGTACCAATTTTAAGTCTTTGGCAACAGAGGCCGTGGCAGGCCTAGAAACTTGGGTGGAGTGTATCCGGAAGGATATCAAGGGGTGTGGTCTGTCCAGTACAGACCCACAGGACAGAGCCAGCTGGAGGCGTGGTGTCCAGAACAGCCGACTGCTGCCCACCCCTGGGACAGGGAAACCGGCAGCAGTATAATCTAAACACGGATAGTGAGTGAGTGAGTGAGGTTGTTAAAAAAAAAACAAAGAAATGTACCTGTGATGTCGAGTACATCAGTGTTCTCCCTCATGTCCCTGTACGCTGTCTGCAGCAGCTCCACTCCGTGGCCCAGACGCTGGAACGGGGGCAGCACCAGCACTTGGCTGGGGAGGGGGGGGGCAGGCAACATTGGATGACAGTTATTAACTACATTAATATGCACAACTTACCACTTCATCACTGGGAATGGTAAATATATACATTGAATACAATGTTTTATAATGTGTGGAGAACAGCATCAGCTGAATTTGCTGTCTAGTGTAATTGCTGTTGCAATTTGAATAAAGAAAAAAAGAAAACACAAATCGACAAGTCATATGCTTGTCAACTTCTTCAACTCTTTAATGGGGGAAGAGGATTCATGCTTACAATTATTTTACAAGCTATACTTCTGATCTCATTTAAAAAGGAATATTCATATTTCTATTAATAGTACATGTACCTGCTTGCCTACCTGTCATTACATGTACCTACATGATGAGTTAAAAATAGTATTCTGATTGAATGATTCAGAAGCTTTTGGTTTATATGCAATTTTTACTTCTTGCTGAAAAAAAAAAAACACAATAGGAGAGAAATAGAGTCCTTTCTTTTTTTTGTTACTCTACAACTACAAGTGCTTCACAATATTTTTTTCATATGCTTAAGCAACTGCTATAGCAGTAATATATTATTGCATGCACCAGTCCCACCCCTAGACTAACCTTATCCTTGGCCTGAGTTTGTCCGGGTAGGCGTAGTAACTGTAGGCAGTCAGGTATCCCACCGTGGCATAGCGGTGGCTGCCGTCACACGCATACTTCTCAAATCTGGAACACAACAGGTACAGTTTTAATCTTTAGTGTAATTATTCTAGCAAGTGACATTTTCTGAGGTTTCAAAACTTAGATTGTTTTAAAACGATATGCACAACAGACTGCATATCAATAGTACTTACATTAGATAGTAGTTCCACTTCTCATCATCCACATCTGGAACAAAAAAGGAGAGACACGTTAGCTCACCAATGACTATCATTCACAGATGAACATGGCCTCCCAAACACTACCAAACTCTCCCCGACTAGGTCGGGAGCAAGGTTGACTACTGTTTGGCTGTGCCAACCGAATGTTTCAAAATGTTGAAAACATTTGAGAGTGAACAATGGGTTGGGCCATGGTTGGGGACTGGTTGTCCTTGGATCTACAAATTTGCACCAGCAGAAACAACGCAAATTTCTCTTTTGTAACGTTTTTAAAAAATGAATCCTGACTTTTATCTTTTTTTCTTACCTATGAATGATCCAGCGTCGATGAACCACAGGACAAACATCTGTAACCTCTCATGGAACTCACGGAACCCGGGAACAGACATGTCTGCCTGCAACCGGACAATAGAACAAGAGTCAAACATTGTGCACAAGAATTGTAACAGGTACCATGCCAAGTTCTTGAACAGTACTATACAGCAAGGCTAATATCTATGCCTTCGACTATAACAATACTAAGTAGTTCTATATATACATTTGTAACTTAAGACTTAAACCACTACACTATTCTATATGAGTGAAACAATATATATGGGGGATTGATTACATGATAATACACAGGAAACAAAGTTTACATCAACAGAACTGTTTGTGTCAGAAATGATACAATTTCTTTTTTAAGGAAAGCAGTACAGATATACTGGCCTATATGTACAAGGAAACAGCCAAACTATCTAGATGCTGCATGCGGTCACAACAGATCTACAGTGTGACCATCATCTTTTAAGATGGAAGGATACCAAACACTGAGTGAAGTGAGGAAAGTCAAGGGCACAAGATCGGTGACATGGGTAGGATTCGAACCCGGGACCTCTGGGTCCTTTGCCGAACACGGTATTGCTACGCCACACGACTTGGCAAATGTTAGTATTATCTCCTACCTTGTAAATCTGGAACAGTCTGTCTCCGCCCTCCGCCTCCCTCCTGTAGGAGTGCAGCAGGGTGCCGTAGGGCTGGAACGTCGCCTCCTTCGGAATGTACATGGAGAAGTCGTCGATGTTGGTGCAGAATCCTGGCGGCATCTTCTCTGCTATGTTCTTAAGGACTTCGTCTGCCTGGGAGGAGAGAGACATCATTTTATACCAGCAATCGCCATGATATCACGGCTAGCAAGTGCATGGTAGGCAAAAAGCAGGTAACAGTTGGGTGATTTGCCTACAGATACTTTGGTGTAGACAAATCCAGTGATAACATTAGTGATATTACAAAAGAAAGCAATTGGCAGATTTCGCTCCCTTGACAATACTGTATGACCCTTCAGTCCCACAGACAAGAATAGCAGCATTGAGGGTGTTCGGGAATATCATACACACACACACACACACACACACACACACACACACACACACACACACACATGCGCGCACACAGATACACACAGACATACTCATGGGCAAGTTAAAACATACCCGCGTGCACACTGTAGGTTGAAGCAATCATCTAATCTCCAAGCAGATCTTATGGTGGTTGCAAGACAGTATCATTGCTTACATAAAGAAAGATACCAGTACAAAAGATTAAGACCAATACAACAAAAATGCCTATTACAATGTATAGTAGGCAAACACATCAGGTAAGTGTAAGCCTAAACCTCTGCTTGAAGAGTAGTACAGAACAGTCTGTGCCAACAAACCTGCATGCCCTCGTGTCTGACGGGGTCGACCTTCTGACTGTAGCTCATGTTCAGGTACGTGGTGAGGCGTCCTGCTGTGTAGTACAGCTTCACCAACAGGTCCTTGTACCCAAATATGTTCTCACTGCAGAGGACAATAATGGCAGACATCAAAACTAGTATCAAACTATAATATTGACATCCAATTCTGTACCAGAGTGATACAATACTGTATCAGGGGGGAAATACCACCGTTATATACATGTATATTTGAGGTCAGTGCAGGTAAAAAGTGGAGCTGTGCAGGTATTTCTTATGTCTACACCTACACCAGTCCATGTACCTGGCTTATGTGTACGTATATGTGGATATTCATTTGCTGGCAGCTGGATTGAAAAAGTATTTTGACTATTTGAGCCCTGGAATAAAAATTTCCTTTGTTGCAATCCTTTGTATAGGAGTCGATAAGCTAGAGGTCCCATGTTAGAGATTCTCTTCAAGCATATATTGATAAGGGTAGACACGAGGGGTGTACCCCTGTATTCAAGGATCAAATCAGCCTGAGTGTGCACTTTGTACATACCAACACTACTGAGTTGTGAGTAGCTCAAAGTAGTAAAGTTGGTATGTAGGTACCAAAATTGAGTTGTAATATTTTTTCTGGCACACTTACGTTTCACCGAAGACCTGATGAGTCAGCTCTGGATGGAAGGTTGTTTTACTGTCCTCCAGGTCTGATTCTTTACGGACTGGGAAAAGCAGAGAAAAACATAATCATGATAATGGACCAATACTAGTAATAAGAACAGATTACTTGACTGCTGCAAATCACGAATTGTTTGTGGTATTTTATAGTTTACAGTTTTTGACTTACTACAAACGGGCATTTGCATCAATGTTTTCATTGCACACTCTGATCTATACAGTAAACTGAACTGTCAAATGGTTTCAAAACTGTACAAGTGACAACATTATGTCATATAAAGGACCACCTGGCAATGTGACCACATTTTGGTGGTGCCTTAGATAATTTCCCCCCAAATTTATGAGCCATAAACGTTTGAAACTACAAAAAAAAAAAAGAACTTACCCAGTTTGATGTCGATGACATCATTAGCCCTGCAGACGAAAGACTCCAGCTCACTCCTGGACAGACCCATCCCTGATGTACCTGGGGAATAAAGGACAAGCAAAACCTGAGAAAATATATCCGACGTGACCAGCCAAGTACTACATAACCTGGATGTCAGGCTGTTCTCACTGGTCCAATACCTTGAGAATACCTTGAGAATCCAACGGTGTTAAAGGCATTTCTGCCTGTGGTGTAGCCGTGGAGACTCTTGATTCCGGCTTACATTGCATTACCCTCTGGAAATGTGCAGTTCTGCAAATGGATCTTTCCACGACTCTTGCAGAGGGTAATGCAATGTAAGCCCGAATCAAGAGTCTCCACGGCTACCTGTGGTGTACACCCTCCTCTCATTCTATGTGTATTCTCCCGCTCCAGTGTTTATTCAGCCTTGACTTGAAGCTATTGACGCTCTCGGCGTCAACCACAGAACTGGGTAGAGAATTCCTTGTTAATACACAGACAAGCCCCCAGTTACATCCTGTTGCTCAGGGTCCAATTATTGAGGGATGTCTATGGCAAAATTCCCTTGAGGACATGAGCCGAGGAAACTGGTCTATAGACTGGCCCCGGCCCCGGCAACACAAAAGCATACATTTTATCAATAAGTATTAGGATATCACACTTATGCCTCATTGTAATTTATCTGGAGTTTACTGTGTATAAAATTTACTGTGTTTTCGCCTTTTCGAACAATAAAATAATTTATTAGGAGCACAAACTGGAAAATATTATAAATTATATGGGGAGGGGGGCATAATTTTTCTCGGGCCATCATAACAATCTTAGGCTACCAGCCGATGACAGTGCAAGGAAAATTTTATCAATTCTTCAGATTGTTTAATCCTACATCGGCATTCCGAAAATTTGGAGAAAGAAGAGAAGACTGGAAAGAAAAGGAAAACGTCTGCGTTTTTTTCACTTACCCGCCGCCATTTTGAAACTACTTCCCGCGCAATGGCCTCGTTTTCGTGATAAGGAAATGACGGCCTCTAGCGAGACAATATAAAACTGCAGTACATTTTGGAAAAAAGATTCTCAGATTTTTATACTTGACCTTCGTGAGGTCACCAAAAGGACGAAAGAGACTTGGCAGATATGATATGATACGTGATATGTGTGTCTGTTAGTTTTTGACATCAGGCACACCCCTACCCCTCTGAAAAAATAGCACAATCCGATGAACAACTGAACCTCCTTGCTTCTTAGTTGTTCTCGAACAATCATGACTACTGGGAGTTACCAAGGCGACCATACTTCATTGTTCACAGTCGAACACGGTATCTAAACGTACAGTCAGCTGTGCCTTGTCTTTACCGAAGTTTGAGTGAAGTTTTTCGAGTCAATTTGAGGAGAAATTCGAGCGAAATGGGTACGTCTGAATCTAAGCCAGGTTCCCTGGGCAAATCGGGGTGCTCCTGCCTGCTGACGCCCTTGAAGAGGCTGAGGAAGAATAAAGTCGCTCCCCTTGGAGAATATGACACGCCCGTGCGGCCACCTTCCACACCTCAGCCGGGATTTTTCAGTCGGATTTTTAGGAGATCGCGATCGACGCTCCCACCGGGTGAGAACACAATCTTCATTTCACCATTTTAGTATAGAAAAACTACGAAAAACTACAAGCAGGTGCATTTGACGAGCTTTCCTTACAAGCACTAACTACAGTGAAGAACGAGAAAAGTCAGAAAAACGAAGCCAGAAACGGTTCAAAACAATCTTCCATCCCTTGGTATCATATAGTTTCCTAACTCGTCAAATTATATGTAAAGGCCTCGCTTCTACTAGTGCGTGTCTCGGTACATCGTATTTTAGTAAGGCCACAGCTGTGCAGCAAGTATAAATTTTATGGATGACATCCTCTGCAGACTCCAAATCTAATGAGAGCGGGCGAAAAAAACAAGGCGGGCCCAAAAAAACAAGGTTCTTACATTTTAAAAATTTGACTTAATCATTGTACAAATGGTTTTCATTCAGTGGGAACATCACATATACACAGCCAGCATCACATATACATATCATTGCATCAAAGTAAGAAACAAAACATTAAATCAGAACCTTTTCTTGTCCCCTCTCTTTACAGTTATCTGACATCCACCTTCCGGCATGGCAACAGACATCTTTGCCCATTTTCGGCACGTTGACCACTGTCAGAAGGCAACAAAATTTCTTCTTTTTTTTTTCCAAACTAGCCAGGCGAAAATTAATGCGCGCGCTGATGTCATCCATAAAATTTACTTGCTCTGGCCTAACCTGACGATGTAACGTTGTATGGCCTTACAGGTGTCCTCTTAGTAGCGCCTGCCAGACCTTCGAATTCATATACTTGGACATCAGATGATGCAACTTCAGAATCCGATAGTGGTGAGAGCTCAGATTCTGGCGAGATCTGCTATGATCCGGATCACGAGATGACAATGGAGCGGATCGAGGAGTTAAGCGATCAGATCTATGACCAGTACCGTTTAGAGGAGAGGCGACTCAGGAGAGATTTTACGGCGAAGTATATGAGCCTAAGTGCGATAGTCGAAGCATTCGAGAAAGGTAGCTTTTTCTTGTGATTTTAGAATATGTATAATCGTGAGGAACGATGAAATTAGCGCTATAGTCGGTAAATTGCCTAACAGTTTTCAATATGTAAAAGGTATGCGATCCAGTCTATGGCTACGTTGTACTTTTCTAGTATCTACCAGGCTTCGAGAGGCGGCTGGAAAGAGTAGAAATTGCACAAAGAGATGAGAGAGATGACATGCCGAGGGAGTTGGTCGGAAAGGCCGCAAGAGAAAGTTTGTCGCACCCGCCTGTACTTTCTAGCGGACCAACTCCCCTTTATTTATTTATTTATTGCTCTTAAAAACAGTTGGGTGGTACCTTCAGTCTCTGAAAGACTGATTTCCAAGGTAGCCCAACAGAACATACACATTGGACAACATGGAATACAATAAAATTAAACAAAATGAAACAGATTAATCAAATGATCAATCGTAGCAAAGGACAATAAATAATGTAAACAGAGGGTACAAATGATCAATATTCATACAAACACAACGGAACAACCAAAACAAATAGTCAAAATCGTTAAGCATAGTCGTATTGTCAAATAATGACAGTCGGTTGTCCATGAGGTCAGGGTCAGAGGTCGTATGTTCTTAGCGCTACTTTAAAAGCATTTATTGTTGATGCATGCTTAGTTACCGTGTTAATCGAGTTATACATGTAGGCTGAAGCTGCTCTGTACTTAAATGTTCTCTGTCCAGTTCTGTTTGTGTATTTGGGTTTACGCAGTAGATTTGCTTGTCTTGGCATCTTATCTCTCTATTTGGCCGCAATTTCTACTCTTCCAGCCGCCTCCCGAAGCCTGGTAGAGGCTAACGTTAGTTTTTCATCGATATCTCCGATCAAAGTGATGAAATCAAACTGAGATCAAACTGCTGAATGACAGTTAAAGTAGTAGAACTTTAAGTCGTGATGATAGTGATTTTATTTAATTTTATAGTGATTTATGTCTTTGTCATTTCTGATTTGTGATGCATAATGCTGATAAGCATACGATTTTAGTGGAAAACTAGAGTTCCCCGATCTCATACCTTCGCCAAATGATGTTAATCTTTATGACTGACAAATTATAAATTAGATTATTCCCCCCTGATTTAAGAAATAGGAACCTAATTTTCATGAATTATATCATTTTATCATAATCTCAACCAAAAGACAGTCTTACATTAACAAACAATGCATTCTAGCATTTCCTAATAAATTATGCAAATGAGGTCCTGATTTGAATAAATTATGTTTAATGATGTTCACCTCAATTTAACTTTCAAATACCCCAAGTATGAAATTCCAGGCAGTTATCATTACATAATTATAAAATTTTCTAATTAATTATGCAAATTAAGTCATTATTAACATAATCAATATCTTCCTGTGTTTCTCTCGTTGTCAATTACCAATGTCACAAGCTTCAATTGTCCTATCATGGAATGCAGATGATTTATAGAATTTCCCCATAAATTATGCAAATTACATCCATATTTGCATAATTGTCACATAATTATATTAAGCATCACGTAAGCTACCTACATAACAAAAATCACGACGATCCGTCAACTGGTTCTTGAGTTATCCCCTTTT